GAGGAAGGGTCTAAGATTATGTTCTGCTTGTAAATTTAAGTAAAAAATGGAAATCCATGACTACTGTGTGTTTCTGACCCTGCAGAGCATTAGAGTTGCCCCTAGAACTTGACTTTCTATTTCCCCCAACCATCCTTGACCAAGTTTTCTCAATTTCCCAGACCACCATTCAAATACAATCCCATATAAATGTCAATGAACATTCTATCCAAAATGATAACTGAAGCCACAATACAAACACCATAGTTTTGAAACTGCAATAGAAATCAAGTTCAAGATTAGACTATAAGTAATCCTTTTTAAAATAAAGATTTAAGATGTTTCTTCTTTCCTTCATGTTACTTATACCGTTTCATCTCCAAGTGTTCTGTGCAGTGTGTGTGTGAATATATGCATGAATGACCACAAGAGGTCCCTGTCAATTGTAAATACTGACATGGGGATTTCTGGATATACCCTCCACCCCGCTATATAGACCATTACTCTCTAGTTATTTCTGCCGGATGAGTGGGTGGGTTTTCTAGGGGGAGCGGGCTTGTGGAAAATGGCATTCCTTAATGAGTATAACATTGCTTTGATTCATTGAGGACTCTCACACCTAATACTCAAAACGAGCAAGGTACCATATATGAGCAAGAAGATGCAAGAGAGGAGAAGAGTAAGAGTGAGCCATCCCCTCAAATGTCTTTAGAGGAGGAAAAAGTTAGAGAAGTTGGAAAAAGGGAGATAGAAGAGATCATAACAGAAATGAAAGGGTTAAAGGTGGGAAAAGAGGAGGAGGGGCCAAAGAAGGAAAAAGGGAGGTAGACATTTTCCTGACCTCAGAGGAGGGAAAGGGCACAGGGGAAACAAGAAAGGTGGTGGTACTGGAAGAAAAATGGATAGAAGAAGGAGAACTACAAGTATTCCAAATCCCCTAGAAAGGGATAGGTGCTGAAAGCCGGGACTTGAAACAGACCGAGAAGAAGGCGAAAGAAGGAAAACCGATAATTGAGGGACTGGGGCTGGAAGAATGGACAGATTTGATGTACCCGCGAGGACGAGGTCCCTGGAAGAGGGTGATTCGTCCAACCTCACGAGAAACCCCCCGAGGGAGAGTGGTCACGTCATCCTTGCTGCGGGATGATCTGTGCAGTAAGGAATGGATGTCTGAGAAGACCGATGGATCAAGAGTGTTTCGGTCAGTCCTTTCGTTAAAACGAGACTTATCAAAACACATTGCCCTTGTTGTGGGCGGACTTACCAGTTAATAATGAATCTACGGACCCTGTAGAAGTTGTGACTGAAAAACCTGTTGACTTCGCTAACAAACGTTTATTCAAAGAATCTCCTCTCTTGTCATTTCCCGCCAAAAACAAGGAACTCTCAAAATTTGACAAACAACCCGATCACACCATAATAATGGACAAAGCAGCTACCTAAGAATGTCACAGCCTGCAACAGGCCCACTTCATGTCTTCCCAAACTACTCTCCCAAACTCTTGACTTATTCTTTTCAGAATTTATAAGATATTGGTGTCTGTTTTCTCCACGATTTAAACCTGCCACTGTCAATTTAAATATGAAAATACAGAAAGACTCCTTACCATTTTTTAAAGCGGCCAAGAAAGCACAAAGAGAGGCATCCAGGAGGTTTCCATCATAGTCTAAGCATATAATGTCACAGTATAGAACCCAAGCAATCTTTAAAAAAAAAAAACACACACACATACAAATGTAAATACCGAAAACACTTAAATGGAACCACAGACACATTTTGCAACTAACCTGTAAGTCAAAAACGTTCCTTCATGTCACTTTTCAAGAGGCTTAAGTCTGAAATCAGCTAGAGCGACTTAAGGTGACACATCATCCCTTACCCAATTTTCAGATGACCAGATGAAGAGGTGGATGGGGGGCACCAGCAGCTTAATCTTGTTGTGCCGATCTCTAAATGTGCACACTAAAATAACTCTAGCAGCAGAGTATTTCAGAGCCACCTTGCTCTTAGTACTGCCCAAATGACTAAAACGTTACCAGCAACAGATAAGGCTACAAGTGTTTGGGAATGCCAGATTAGCCCATTTGCTGCTCTAAACCCCATCTCACACAGGGGGACCCACTCGGGGATGGCAGGCCCCTTTCTGGACCTCACTGGGATGAAGTCTCCCACATTTCAAGCCTAAACAGGGATGAAGAGGGAAACTTTAAACTGGCTATTTGCACCTCTGGAGGCTTCTGGGAGTGAAACCGGCCACTTTAATATTGAACAAAAGTTTTCCGTGTGGCCGGTGTTGAGGATCCTGGGGGCTACACTTTGGCCACCCTTGGTTTACATACAGGGACAGAACCTTAAACCCAGTTAAATAGAACAGGAAGGATAAAACTAACAAAACCAGATATACTCATTTTTTTTAAAAAAAAATGCAGGGCCACAAATGCAGATTTAATAAATGTGAAGATAGCTACATTGCATAAATTAATGACCACACAGCTGAGAAACAGCATGACTATATGCATTAAATAACCTAGTGATCTGCACACTAACATGCTCTTTGTGGGCCTTGCTATTCACAATGTGCATGTTAATATTGCTTGTGCAAATATATTACGTGACAAGAGTGGTGATTATTACATTAAAAAAAAAACCCAGAAAGGTCTCTGCTCCATTTAGCATGATATGCGCGTGTACTAATACAGTGGTGCCTCGACTTACGACCATCCCGACCATTTTGAGTTGCAACCAGCTCCAGCTGCAAAATTTTGCTTCGACTTGCGTCCGGAGCTTCAAGTTGTGATCAAAAGAGACAGGGGAAAAAAGCGGGGAATTCAAATTACAGGGCTAACCGTTGGTCGGCGAAGAGCTTCTTTACAGAAGCTTCTTTTTTCCAGCCCCATTGTGTTCCGATGGGACTGGCTGTACATGAGTGTTTTTTATTTAATTTTCAGCCTCACTGCGTTCCAATGGGGCTGGCTCTGTGTGTGTGGAGTGTGTGTGTGTGTGTGTGTTTTTTCCAGCCCCACTGTGTTCCGATGGGACTGGCTGTGTGTGTGTGGGGGGGGGGGTTTGGTTTTTTTTTTCAGTCCCATCGTGTTCTGATAGGGCTGGTTGTGTATGAGGGGGGTCGATTTTCTTTTCAGCTCCACTGTGTTCCGATGGGGCTGGCTGTGTGTGGAACGGGTTTTTTGTTTTGTTTTGTTTTTTTTCCAGCCCCATCGCATTCCAATGGGGCTTGGTGTGTGGGCGTGTTTTTTTAATTATTATTTTTCAACCCCATCGCGTTTCGATGGGGCTTGCTGTGTGGTGTTTTTTGATTATTTTTTTCAACCGGAACGAATTAATGGGGTTTCAGTGCATTTCAATGGAAATGGTGCTTCGACTTATGACCATTTTGAGTTATGATTGTTCTTCTAGAAGATATTAAGTTTTTAAGTCGATGCACCACTGTTCATACCCTTTTCCACAGTGTATTTTATTTAAAAATTGCCAGTATAATGTTATACCTACCTTTGAATCATTATAGATCACTCTGAAAACTAAGCTACATTTAAGGTTTCTTTTTTTGCAGTGCACTGAAAAATGCATTACACCGGTGAGGTCTTCACCCATAAGAACCCTACTTTGAAACTTTTAAACAGTTAAATGTTTGGCAGGAACTGTGACCCTATGAGGTCTATTCTGACCATCTCAGAAGCAGCAGGCAAAAACTTCCACACCAAATGACTTAGGTCACTTTATCCATATATACAAAGCACATATCACAAAGCAAAATGTCATTTCAACTTTTTTATGTGAACTGGAAGGGAACAGATGCATTCCAGAGTTTTTAAACACTATACACTTAGTATTAATTGTAAAGATTAAGCATTTACTTACCTTCCCATCAACAATGCACAGATCTTCTTTCAGTACTATCTGTGAACTGAAACAGTGAAATTTTGAAGGGGAAAACCAGCTCTTCTTGACAATTCTATACTGAAAAATTAATAGATCATTAACAGTATCTTACTTTTCAATTACATCTGCAATAAACTGACTAGCTGCCTGAGCCTCTTCCCCTGGCGGTCCAGGTCGAAACCTTGATGAACAGAGTGGAGGAAGATCCACATTAGGAACTACGGAGGGAAAAATCATGATGAAGCAAAAGATATCATAGGAGGCATCTGGTGACATACTCCTTCCTCAATATTTTACATTCTAGACCTACTCTTGTTAGGAAAAAGAAAAAGGTGATTAAATATTCACCTAATTTACATTAGCATGACTTCTTCCTGAATTCCACATATCTCTTAAGAATAATGAATAAAATAACCTTGAATCCCCAGGAAACTTAAAATAAATTCAAGCACAAGAGTATTTGATCTAAAGTTCTAGAGGTAAAAATCCCAAACACAGAATGGACATTTTCAGGTTTTCGCTCTCTTTTCCCCAGAGTCCAAAATCCTGTTACTGTAAACGTATGCTGCATAAGGCTGATGATGTCATCACTGGTAATTTAAAAAAAATTATTAAACATTTCTGGCTTTTCTCCCAGAGCTCCCGAGACTGTGAAATCCCTCTCATTATCAGCAACCCTGGGACTGCAGAATGGGAGGGGCAAGTTTTTAATTACAGTGGTGCCTCGCATTACGAGAGCTCCATTTTATGACGAAATCGCTTTACGTTGAAGGTTTTGCGATTGCAAAAGCGATCACAAAAGGATGTTTCCTATGGGGGAATTTCGCTTTGCGGTGATCGGTTCCCTGCTTTGGGAACCAAGTCTCGCAAAGCGATGATTTTCGGCCAGCTGATCGGTAGTTTCAAAATGGCCACCGAGTAAAAAACATGGCTACCCGCTCTTTTCTGGGACGGATTCCTCGCTGCACAGGCAGAGAAAATGGCCGCGGTATGGAGGATCTTCGCTGGACGGTGAGTTTCAAGCCCCTAGGAACGCATTAATCGGGTTTTAATGTGTTTCTATGGGCTTTTAAATTTTGCATAATTTGTTTCTATGGGCTTTTAAATTTTGCATTACAACATTTTTGTTCTACAGCGATTTCGCTGGAACGAATTAATGTCGTAATGCGAGGCACCACTGTAGCCAAAACTGTCAGGGATGATCTTACTGGCATGGCAAATTGCAGTAATTAAAAAACATCCTCCTTCCGTCCCATGGCGCCCTTGGCTTCCCAAAAATGGCCAAAATCTTACTTAGTGTAGTATCTTGCACTAGGGTAGGCCCACTGCATCAGTGGGGATTTAATGAGTCACTTCCTCTATAAGCTCCATTGGTTCAAATGGGCTTACTCTGGTGATGACTTGATACACTAAAAGAAGTCTAAACTAGAGTAGGCCCACTGGAATCAATAGAACTTATGGAGAGGTTGACACACCAAACCCCCACTGATTTAAGGGATCTACTCTAGGGCAACTTTCTATGCTAAGCAACAAGATTTTGAAAAATGAAAGGGATTGCACAGGAGCCTTGGGAGAGAAATCAGAAATGTTTATTATTTAGAAATTCACGGTGTAATTTATAGCAACAGGATTTCAGCCAAAATCTGCTTTGGACAGCTGGGAAACCTTCCAGAATACAGGAGGACACTGTATTTAGGGAAGAAAAGAAATTGATGTATTCTACATTTCCATGACTCTTCAATTTAGAGAATTTAGGCAGAATACGTCCATTTGAACCATTGGCTTATACTTGGAAAGGGTGCCAACTAGGAAGATTTAAAAAGCTGATAGGATAACAGGATGCTAAAATTTGAAACATGTGCTTAGAAAGGAGGTAGCTAAAAGCCACCATTCAGTACCTTTAAAAATGTGAAATAAGCAAAAGATGTAGTAAAACTAGAGCCACAATACTGAAAATCATTCTGCAGTGAAAAAATGAACAAAAGTTATGGTTATCAATATTAGCGATCTCACAGGAGTACATAACAAGGGTCCGGGCCACTGGGGCCAGACCGTCCACTCATCCATCCGCTGCTGCAGCCGGCTCCATGCTCCCTTCCGATCGCTCTGGAGCTCGTGGTCGACTAACCACTCCTGGCAGAAGGAGCAAAGACAAGCCTCTCTGCCAGGCTGACGAGTGGCTAGTCCATCTCGTTATGTCCACCTATGTGGGGGTACTTGTATACGAATAACCCCATCTCTAATCTGTATACTTATGAACACAGTAAAGTGGTGTATATGAATAAACACATGTGAGAATTTTCTCTTAATATTATTTATTCAACTATACTACTTTTATCCTTTTGTTAAGTGTTACAATAGGCACACCCTATAATCTTCAAGAAATTGACCCAAAGGTTGGTTGGAAAGTGCAGAATAGAGACAAGGCTTTGTATGTTATGAAAGAAGTAAAGTTCAGAAATAAATAATAAATAAAACAACAATTATTATAGGTTGCATCCCTACAGTATACAAGCACATATAGATATACAATGAGACTTATTTCTGAACAGACATTCTTAGCATTTTGCTATTCATGCAAGATACATCTTGTAAAATACAAGCAACCAATACAGTAATTTCAAAAGCAAGTAAGTAAAGAAACCTTACCAATATATCCCCTGTTACTGG